CATTTTTGTAAGATTATTTTATGGGAGTCGCATGTGGGGGATGTTCGGAAAGATAAAGTTTTAATATGCATTGTCATTATTAGGCAACTTGTCACTCATGTCAACTTCTTTTTCCAAGGATAATGATTTTTCAATATGCAAGAAATGAAGAAAATTTTATATCTTATTTTAAATCTTATTTCTGTTCCTAGTTTTGGTTCCCCAATTTTGATAAAAAAAAAAAAAATTGTTTGTCCTCGTTAGTATTTTACTCATAATTTTAACACACTCATTTTGAAGTTCTATGTAGCTTTAAAATATGTCCAAACAATATCTATTCGCTAGGTAATTAATATAATGACAAATAGTTTCGTGTTCAACTACAATGGAAGTTCAGAGATTACGACAAAATGAATTTTAAATAAAATACGATTTTTCAAGTTAACATATTATTTTGTTGGTTTATTTTGGTCCTTGTATTTTCAAAGTGAGTAGTTTCAATTTTTATTTATTTTAGTTTTGTAATTTCAAAATGTTTTGTTTGGGTCTCTTTATCCTTTAATATAAATTTATTACTGTATTTTAAGAAATTTAGCAAGGGAAGAATTTTTCTAAAATTATAATACATTAGGATCAAAATGATCACAAATTATAGGGATCAAAATTAATGTTTTGGATTAAAATGAAAGAAGAATAAAAATGGACATGTTAAAGGCATAGGGAATAAAATAGTGTTTTATTATTATTATCTGCTCTTTTATCATTGGTTGATTGGAATAAATCATTGGGTCAAAAAGCTAAAAAAAAAGTCGATGCTCAAAGCGACAATAAATCATTGGCCCATAACATTTCCCAACTGTTTGAAAACGATTGAATTTATGTTCCCTTGACTTTAATATGCCTAATTGCTTAATTAAATAATGAAGAATAGTAAGAGCATCATCAAATTATTCAATTTATTTTAACATGGGAAATTTATATTTATAATTCAATTTGTTTAATTATAACTTGAGTTTGTATAAGATTTTTGTGTTTTTTTTAATCGAGTTTTGATTATTAAGTTAGGTATAGAAGTAAACGACGTTAAATAATATTAAGCGTGGAAGCAACTCCAAATTCTTATAATTAAACAATATTCTCACCCAAATTCTTAAACTAAACAACAATTTATAAGTCAAGGCTCCCACTTGCTTTATCGTGGAAGTTTCCCACTTTTCCAATCAATTTTATGATTATTCAAATTAGAGCAAAGCAGCCAAATCCAGATCCCAACCTCTCACCCACATTGACTTTCAAAACCCCAATTTTTTAATAGTTAATTCAATTGGAAGCTCTAAAAGCGAATCTTTCTTCAATCTCTAATTTTCCGGAGACGGAAAATGTTGAGAAATGGATCTCAAAATCCCCTCCAATGGCGGTGGCGGCGGCGGGTTCTCTTCTTCCTCTTGGTGTCTCTCCTTCTCCAGTCCTCCCATGGCGACGTCGGCACTGCTTCCAGATACCCTCCTCCTTATTCCCGTAAGAATCCGCAAAACATTTGGACTCCGTCTTGAAATTTTGTTAGTTGTTAATTAGGGCTTTGAATTTGGGGGTGCAGCGACGGCGTGTTTCGGCGGCGATTTGAGTCAGTTCCCGACGAGCAACCTGTTCGGGGCGGCCGGAGATGGGATTTGGGAGAACGGAGCAGCGTGTGGGAGACAGTATTTCGTGAGGTGCTTTAGCGCGTCGGAGCCGGACGCTTGCGTGGCGGATCAGACGGTCCAGATTACAATCGTCGATCACGCGGCGAAGATCGTGTCGACTCCGACGGCCGCCGGAACGACCATGATTCTGTCCACGACGGCGTACAATTCCATCGCCAATTCATCCTCTTCTGTTCAGTTCATCACCGTCGAATTTCAGCAGTAATTTCTGGCTTCTGTCTTTTTTTTTTTTTCTCATAATTGGAATATTGATGGTAAAAATGTTGTTATTGTTGCAGGGTATAAATTACAAAAGCAACCAATTCGTGGGTGAAATTATTGTAAGTTCTTCACTTGCTTGGCTTTTAAATTGCGGTATCAATTGCATAATCTATCAATATTGCATGTAGCCAAATTTATATAATTAATTAATGAGAAATTAAAGATTTCCATATTTTTGGCAGACGTTTATGTTTATTTTTACATTCTTTTGTTTGTTTTGTTTTGTGATTGGTGTTATAATCTCAAGGATTAAATAATGGGGTGTACATAAAACCAAAAATACATAATAAGAACTGGTTCAACTTTTTATGCTATATTCTTAGTTTGGTTCAACTTAAATTAGGTACTCTAAGATTAGATCCAATAAAAATAGTTGGTTTGATTGGGTCAAGTTGCATATAAATCAAACTAATCATTAGCAGCGGTGGATATAGAATTTTACGGAGCTGTGTAAAAATAAATTTGAACCTATTTAAATATTTTGATTATAAATGGGTTAAACTTCAAAATTTATCCTTAAACTGTAAATCCTTAAATATTCAATTTTGCATCAAATAAATAAAAAGTATCTGAGTATAGCTTAGCGGTAATTGACATATCCCTCTAACCATGAGGTTGTGAGTTCGATCTCCCACCTCCACATGTTGTACTAAAAAATAAAGTTGGAATAAATTGAAAATAGAAACAAGAAACTAGTTATACTTAATGGTATGTTTGATTGTCAATTTGGATTCTATTTCTTGTTTTTAGATTGAATTCAATGAATTTAGCACGGTTTAACAGATTTATTAAAATAAAAAAATGTTAATAAATTAATTAATATTATTTTAAACTAAACTATGTATATACATATATATATATATTTTAGTACAACAGGATAGAAGATTAAACTCACAACCTCTCGATTAAGAGATTAGTTGCTTTGACAACTAAACTAAATATTTATTTTCTAACTACTACTAATACAAATATATGGCTAAAATACACGTCCAAATCTACTACATAACACAAATATAAAAACATTGAAAACAAATAATTAAATCCTATTTTTGATAAACAAATAATTAAATTCTATTTTTCATTTAATTTGTTGTTTTCAAATTTTGTTTTCTAAATTTCTAATAACCAACCAAATGCACCATAAATTTTTTACTAAAATTAAAAATGAGAAAAAAAATAAAATCAAATAACAAAAACGAATTGAAACAACATAGATTACTAATTAAACATTTTTTTAAAGTGGAGTGCACTGTACGATAAGTGCATAATTTGATTTTACTTGTACATCATTTTGAAGTACATGTTTAGAAATAAGACATTTCATTTTTCTCGTATAGAATTCATTGGTTGAAGGAAGAAATACATGTTTTTTTAGTACAAGATTTGAACCCGGAACTTTCTTACTAAAATATAATACTTTAACCAATTAAACTATGAAGAAATAGATTGAAGGGAAGAACCCGACAAAAAAAAAAAAAGTTGATAAAGAGGAGAATAAAGGGAGGAAGGAGATTAAAAAAAAGTAGAGGGGGTTTAAATATGATGAGGGTTCAAAATGTCCCCAATCTATCATTATTTCATCATATTACCCCAATGCAATACAATACAATTCACTTTCACAAAATAATAATAACTCTTCATTTTTTTCCTTCCTCCAAGACAATGAAAGGGGCAACATATTGGAATAAGATGTAATGAAGATACATTCTCTTGCACAAAATTTATAAAGAAGGGAAAGAAAAAGTTAGTTTAGGGTTTAGCAATGGGAAAAAAAAAAGACATGGGAGAAGGTCTGAATTTGAGTTTGAGTTGGATGATGGATGAGTTCCACATTCACTTGCTCTCAGCGTCGTAAATATCAGTTCTGAACAAAACCAAAGCATCCAATGGACATGGAGTGTCAAGGAAATACAACACAACTAGCCAACTCACAGCCATATGCAAATCCAAATGCAATGATATAAGCAAACCAAGTGAAATGCAGTAACAACAAAGACGTTACCAAAATAGAATAAATGGTCACCCGTTACCAAAGCGAGCCCAGTTGCCACAACCACAATACCGAATACAATGGAAGGCATATATATCTTCATGGGGCATGTTGCCCAATCACCTCATATATGATAAATCTAGCTTATGAAATTTACCTCTCTTCGAACTACAAACTTTTATAACTCTATATCAAACCCTAAACGTCATCGACCCATGTTTACTGGACCCATGAGCCAAACAAAAACATTTCCGAAGGGCATTTGAGGTTATTAAGGCTAACACAAATGAGTTTGTTCTTACCAATACCAACTTGGTTTTATGCAAAGTATATGTAAAAATGGAAAATGTCACGAGATTATCACCATTTGATCAAGTAGAACAACCATGATCAGTAGGGAAAAGGAATTGAGTAGAGCAATGTAATGATGCAAAGGACATCACCATGTTAGGATGCCAAAGAATGCAAACAAAGTCCTACATTGGCTAGGGAAGGGAGTGATCCATGATATATAGAAGGGAAAATTATATCTACCAGTATAAAGCATTTCGGGTGAAATCAAAAGCAAAGCCATGAGAGTCATCTCCAAAGTAGACAATATCATACCATTGTGGAGATACTCGGGGGTTCTGTTGTCCTTAACAATTCACATAGTGAAAACTACACTATGCCATTGAGAAAAAGTTACACAAGCAGCAAGGACCACTTCTAAAAAATTACAAGCATTCCCACTGAACTCATTACCTAATAGCTCCAAATAATCCATATATGTAGCTTAAGACTGAGGGATTTCGACCGAAGTTGCAAACAAGAACCACAAAAGTTAAATAGCAAATATGAATCTAGACAACTTTAACTGTAAGACATTGCTACAGCCTAAGGGCTTTTTGGCAAACAAAACTTCTCACCTGTGCCTGCAGAATGTTACTCTTTTGACAGTAAGCAGCGACTGTGAAAATCACTAGCTCGTGTCAAAGCCTACAGGCATGCCTTGGGAGCCATTACTCAAGTCTTAAGTCCCCGTCCCTAGACAATGATTTCTACACTTGATCAACAACATTAAGAAACCAAAAAAGACACGGTTTGGCAACCTATGAATATCCTTCATGAAGTCCAACAAGGTTCTCCATCATTAAACTCCTCCATCCTCCTTTCTATCCTTTTCTGTCTAGTTTCTGCAGATTTCCACAAATTGCACTTGTATGACTACATGTCAATACAATGGTAACACACATTGATGGATTTTCCGAAGACCCATAATACATGACACACTCAGAGAATGTGGAGAAAGCACATTTCTCAGAGCAATCGACTTCAACGCGACAAATCTGTAATACTTAAGAATTTATACTAAGACCATTTCCAGTTCTTTTCCAACTCTACGATAAATGATGAGGAAGCACGTTTTTCAGATTAATTGACATCTACGACTCTATAATACTTTTGAGTAGACCAAAACTATTTCAAACTCTACACTTAAGCTGAACGATCCACATAAATGTAACTAGATCCCCTTTATTTTTTATCAACTTGGTTCTATCGAATTCGATCTCAACAGTACCATTCTAAAGAATATAAATCATCAAATGGGAAGGGTTTTGGCGAATCATAACAATTCTCAGACAAGATTGTAAATTCTAAGAAACAGAGGATGCAGATCAACAGAAAATGGACAGAGAAATATTGAAATCGAAAGATTCAAGAATTCGCATGCAATATGATATGAGCAATGATTAAAGCAAATATAAAAGTTAAAGGATACACCAGGTAAAAGCCATGGGCAAAAGCACCGGCCAACACCGCCGTGAACAGCCGATCCCTCACAACCGGGTTCTTACGCAGCGCGATTCTGACTGAAAAATCAATGGCACAAATTTAGAATCTCGTTCCAACGAAACCCCAGATGGAAAATAATCACAAAGGCTCCAAAAAAGAGAAAAAAAAAAAGAAACCTATAAGAAAAAAATACTTACTGAGAGGAAGAACAGGGGCATATACGAGAGGAACCAAGAACTTAATTGGCGCTCCTTGCTTCTTCCGAACAGCCTCACTATTCAATTTCAGCACCAAACAATAAGAGGAGGAAAAATTTTCACTTTCGGAGATTCAGATAATCGACCCTAATGCCAATGGAAAATGAATCGAACGTTTATGAAGAAAATCACGAGAATTTTTCAAAGACCCACCGAGTAGCGGGATCGTAGGGGGCGGCCATGGCGGAGCTCTCGAACCGGCGGCTATTGGAAAATGAAAATCAACTTCAGCCCGCGGGAATGGCAACTGGTAAATAATTTCACTAGCGATCCTCTCGGTTCGATTTTCTCCTTTTTTCTTACAGAAAAAAAAAATAATAATTTGCCAATGAACATTTTATTGACAGAGAATTTTGATCCAAGTTTTAAAGTGATCCAAAATGAATCAAGGACACACAAGCACTACGCAAAAAACAGGTCCATTTTTTGGAGTAATCCAAAACCTCCAATTCTGATTCGATCCAGAAGGGAGAAGCAGCACTTTGGGTTGATTGGCCCAAACCCACATAATCCAAACAATACAAAACTTCAAGAATTGGATAGTCTCTTCATAAAGCTAAAGCTGAACATTCAAAATTTCTAAATCCGAGAATAAGCTTCCCAACACTCGAATCAAAACTCATACCTAGCATCAAAATATTATAACACTCCTATATTAATATAAACAAAAGTTGATTAATTTTGAGTCTCATTTTTTGTGAATTTTCCTGTGAATAACTAACCTCTTCAGCTTCCTACTTTGCACTCAAGCTCATGTTATTCAACAAACTTACGTGATCCTGCACCTCTCAAATAAAATGTTATTTTTAATACTTTCAAATGAAAACTCGAACTCATAACATTTTGTTCATCGGAAGTAGATGCTTTAACCAGTTGAACTATATTCAGATTGGCTGAAATGAAATGTTAACTGATAAAATCCATTTATGTTAAATTAATTGTTACTGCCCGACCCTCATAAAGCCATGAATCCACCATTAATGGAGTCGGGGCAGAGTTGAGAGTGAAGAGAAAGAGAAGTATAGTCGGAGGAGTTGAGTTCATTAATGGGATGTTGGTAGAGACCAGAGAGTATAAACCTGGCCAACCTCACCTCGTTCCCCTCACGTGAAACCCACATGCTGGACGCTGGTTTCGTTAATAGAAACCAAAAGTTAAGGATTTTAACCTTAGCTTCCACTTGCCTTTAATTTCCAAATCCTCCCCCAACAAACATTGCCTCATCCTCATCTCCAAATTAATTAAGACCACAATTGTCATTGCAACTGTTGTTCACTATTGTAGATCCTACGCTGAAAAGAGTGAGTCCCACATAGCCAATTCCCTTTATCTTCAGATAATACCTTAGATTCTTACTTACTTGAGTATTGGAGCTTGTTTCTTTCTCTACGTAGGTTCTCCTCACGCCTTATATCAACTCGTAGTCTTAGAGTGATCATAATTGAGCTTGTTTAAGCTGATCTTGAACTTTACCAACATGTTTACAATATGTGGGGTGGATATATCCCAAGGACAGTGTCCCAAAACCAGGGGGTGAGTCTCAGCTGGCTCAGCTTATTGGTTATTACCCCAACAAAAGATCCCAAAGTGAAAGAGAGAGTAAATGAAATGAAGCCTTTTTAAGGGCAAAATGAGTGGTTTTCAGTGTCGGTTGGTACTGGCCATGGCTGGCAGTGACAGTGGAGTGTCATTTTTTGGGCTCTGCCAACAATTTATGCCCCGAAGTCCTTAAAGTATCATATGGTCTCTCTGTGTTGCCTTATTTATGATGAATGGGCCTTGTTTTGCTTTCAACTTGAGCTCCTCAAACATGGTAAAATCCACTCAAAACACTCATCTATGGACCTAATAAAATCCTTTTAATTCCAAATCTAAAGCTCAAAAAGATATATACAATGGATCATTTGGGTTTGAATTTATTAGGTGTCCTTCCCATGGCTCTGCTTTTATGGTATTCTCATGGGCAGCCTTTCAACACAGCAGCTGCCGAGTTGATCCCTTTTTGCTCTCCAAACCCAAATGAGGATATTTATTGAGTTGTTTCCTTTTAATTTACACATATATCCTTGACCCAGAACAATTCCAACTTCAGAAAACTAAATACATTCACAAACATATATCAAAATGTTAATTAATTAGAGTGTGGAGAAAGAAAGGATATGGTGGGGATCCAATGGTACTAATTGTGAAGATTGGGACTTCTCAGGGAAAAACAGACCATCATGTGAATTTGCATACACAAATAATATTGAGAGGTTAATGGTGGGGTAAGGATGAGGAGCAAAATGATGAGAGAAAAACAATTGAATGAAGGGTTGTAAACTGGAAGCAGGACATGTTCTGTTCTGTAAAGAGAGCATGTGCCAAGGCATGAACATGGTGAAGCATAAATAAGAGGATATCAAGCACTTGTCACTCTCCATACCTTATTCAACTATTGCTAAATGCTTATAATGCTAACTTTAGGACAAACACACACCACCTCCAACTGCCCTTTCCCCTCTTTCTCAACCAACCTTTTCTACTGCCTCATCAATTTTAATTATTTCTGCTATCGAATCATATCTCGACCTCTTCACGGTTCTGTCGAACCTGAGTTTGTGTAGCCTGTGCATGCAGTAAAAAAATAATTTAAATCGCGGGTTTGTAATTCGTAAAAACGTAAGCCTGTCTGATTGACAGGTGAGTTTCAATATGCTTAAAAGACGATAAAAGTTTTTAACTTTAGTCTAATGCAAACTAACTCATCAACCAAATCTCCTTAATCTATCGAAAATAATGATTTTTACATCAATATTTTACTTGCCCACTTCATTAATAAGAATAATAAGCCAAAAAGAATAATGGATAGATTATAAAGTACCCTACCCAATGGATAGATTATAAAGTACCCTACCCCCTAAACTTTGTCAATTTCTTAGAAAAAAAATAATTTTATCATTTCGAAAGTTTCAATACTATGGTTGATCTTTCACAAACGTTTCAAAAATACTATTTGAGTAAACATCCGTTAATATTTTGAATGGAAAGTTGATATGAACATAATCTGAAACGACACGACAATTATCGTGGTTAATTAACAATCCCAAATTTACTTTGAACATTTTCTTCCTTCGTTGTCAGAAGGGTTTGTTTCTCTGTTGTCTATCTAGTTTACCATAATCCCGCCTCAAAAACTCTTTTCACATTTCATCTTTTTTCATACGTAAATATCCAGGCAAACGAGATAAGAGTAGTATTGAAACATTTTGAAATAAATGACAAAATAGAGGTACTTTTTAGTAATTTTACCTAAAAGCTGAATAATGAATACAAAATTAGGTTACCAAATTGAAAAGATATATATGTCAAAGTTTCTTATATTTGATGAAGATTCCCACAAGTTGAGGGGTTCATTTGGCAAAGATATTCATAGCTTGTAAGATTGTGTCACCAATGTTTTTCCACTTAGAGAGAGAGAGAGAGAGGTGGGAAAAAGGGGCAGAGTCTCCTTTTTGTCTGCTTAGGGCAAACATTAAAGAAGATAATGTTTGAAGGAAGTTTAGTTTTTGGTGTGTCCCTCCAATGATTTGGTTGGTTACTGCCTATATATCTTCTCAGTTTTGGATTCAGCCAAAAAAAACTCTACCAAATATATTCTTTTTTGTCTCTCATTTGATTATTGGGTTTTGGGATTTAATTACAAAGGAAAAATTTTCAGAATTTAAGTTGGAATTAGTTGCTTAATGGCGACCACACGGTTTCTCCCTTTTGCATTAGGAAGCTTCAAGGGAGAGCTTGAATTATTCAATCATCACATTTATCTCTCTCTTCCCCCACCTTGCCTTTCAATTAGTATATATATTTAGAAAGAAAAGAAGGAGTGGTTAGAGATGGAATATATTTGGAGTACCCACACAAATAAACGATCGATCAAGAGATACATGTGAAAAGAAAGAGACTTGGTGTGAGCCTTACACGATATCATTTACATTAATATGGTTAAGACGTATTACATCTTAAAGAGTTTGAATAACTCTTTTCCTACAAATTATTATTATTATTATTATATATAAAAGGGGAACAAAAACTTAAAACCCACCATTTTTTAATCCATTTGAAGTTACCTTATCAAATTTCATTGGGTGAAGCTCAACTCCCTAATAATGTTATAATCACTAAATTTTGAAAATCGTATTAGAGTGAAATCCGAACTCAACAGTAGCATTGTTTTATTAAGATAAATAAGTTGTTAGGTCCCTACGAGCCATCGGTTCACTAGAGGCCCCAAAACTCGTTAAAAAGTTGTTAACTTGATTGTCAAAGTTTTTCTTTAATCGTAGATACTACGTCAATATTGTTCCTAAAGATATTCTCAACAACCCCATTTTTGTTCTTGCCCTTAATTTGTAGAACTATTTTGAACCAAATATATGCTTAATATATTTATCTAAACATATATTTACATTCGTATACCAACACAACAATAACGTTATTGTTATATATGATGAGTAAAAAATATGTAAGATAGCCTTTTATAATCGATTAGGGCTATTTTAATTTGCACACCTAATTAAAATGATCTTTTTTTTTAGTACAACAACATGTAATTAGGTTGGGGATTCAAACTCACGACCTTGTGATCGAAGATATATATCTTAATCAGTTGAATTATGCTTAGGTTTGAGTGTATGTGAAGATGTAAAAGTTAAACCTGTGATTAATAGGTGGTTTTTTTTTCTTTTGAAACAAAGGTGGGTTTAGTTATATTCTAAACTTTTTTGTTTTCCATGGAATATATAAATTCAAAGTTTCAAAAACTCACCTCTATACTGTATATATACTTTTACTTTTACAAATCACAAATCACAAATCACAAATCACAAATCACAAACTTTACATAGTTCAAACACAAGCTTGACTAGGCTATTCAAATCTAGGTTTTTGTAAAATTCTAACATAAGATTGATCACAAAAGTGAATTAATTATCACTAACTAGTTAATGGGTGATTAAAAAAAATAGTGTTATTTAGAGTCCTCTATAAATTTTCATCAACTCCGTAGATTCAATATCGACATGATGAATGAATCGGCAATTTCAAAAAAAAAGAAGACCGAATATAAAAAATATCAACAAAATATCACTATTATAGGCATAATATCAACATCAATAATTTAAACTTATTTTAAAAAGAGTGAAACAAGTATTCGTTAATTTAAATATTTGTCATGAAATTTTTTTAAAAAATAATTTTTACAAAATAACTATCAACGACGACATTTTATCGATATTTTTCTCAATATTTGCATAAAATTGAGATTGCTGGATA